TCACGTCTGCTTCAGGAGAAGCCAAACGGTGACAACAGAAATGCGGCCACAAATTTATTTTACAAACACACATGAATCCTGCATTGTCGTTGGTGCCAGGGCAAGAATACTTATTTTAAAAAGTATTTATTTTTGTGCTCAGAGAATACAACTTGATGCATGCTAAAGGAACTGTTTGGTGGAGGATTTTAAGGTATTCAGCATAGCCTTTAATCTGATGCACTTTTACTTCTTGCCGTCGCCTGGTCTTCAACCTTGAGGGGAAATGTTATAATTTTATTTTACCACAAGCACAAAAAGTTGTCTTGCAGTGTAGTTTCTGTCCTCCCTAGGAAACAGAATAGAGGTATTATTCAGTAGGAAATCAGTTTCCTCTGGAGGAAATGCAGTCCCTATTGGTCATCTCCCTCTTCTATTTGCTGAAAGGCCTTTTTTTTTGTTTCAGTTACGGTAAACTATTTGAACTGTAGCCAAATTCTCTTTGAGGTCAAAAGTACAAAGCCCTTTAGAAGGCTTGATCTTTTTAAATATTTTTTCAGAGGTTAAAAATTAAATTTGAAAAAACTATCTGGGGCAGAGAAGCATCCACAGTAGAGACGCAGACCCTGAATGTCTCCACCATGAAGCTTGCCCATGCTCTCCTGTTACTTTTGTGCTTCTACTTAAGTTTTTGTGAGGTAAGTGATTCGATGTTTATGCAAACTATTTTAAGAAAACATTTTAAATATTGTAAAAATATATAAAAATCTTGAGACATTATTTTGATTTAAAGATTACACAGCTCAGTTAACAACAATGGCAGGATATAGTCAGTAACAGAGATTTTTGTTACTATCTTGCTGAAAGAGCTTTAAGAAATTGCTGTTTTGTATGCTTTTATCTGTGTATAGAAATTAAACTGAATGAGAATTTTAGTGATATAGATCTGTAATTCATAGTAATCATATTAAATAAATAAATATTTTCCTGGCTGTGTGGCTCAGTTGGTTGAGCGTCGTCCCATGCATGGACAGGTCACAGGTTCGATTCCCTGTCGGGACACATACTCAGGTTTCGGGTTCCATCCCTGGTCCGGCTCCTGTGGGAGGCAACAGATTGATGTTACTCTCTCACATCAATGTTTCTCTCTCTCTCTCTCTCTCTCTCTCTCCCTCTCCCTTTTTCTCTCTCTAAAAAAAAATCAATAAAAACATATTTAAATAAACAAATATTTACCAAGCTCCTTCTATGTGCAAAGTTCAGTGCTGAGCAAATGGCAAGGCTGATCTCTTCCTTCAGTCGTCGTTTGGTACAGTTGTAGCCAGATGATAGAAATATGCCAGTGGGAAAGTAAGAAACAAGATTTAAATAACATTTGAAAATAAAAAAAAAAACAAGACAAGGAACTGTTACAAGACAGTATATTTTTATTGCCCCTCAAAATGGTGCAAATACCATGTGCCAAGGGACTTCAATGGAAGGAAAAATTCCTTCCTGCTAGGAGGTCAGGAAGAGTTTATGGACTGAGATTTGAGCTAGACTTACCAGTATTTCTGAATTCGATTTGATCCGTGGGGAGAAAGAGAAAGGGATCTCCAGCCTTCTCAGCTTGGAGAAGCAGCAAGTGCTATGGCAGAAAGATAGCAAAGCACAGGCTCTTTTCTATCACCAGATGAATAAACCCATTTGATCAGAGTGGAGACTTTGTGGGCAATTCAGGGAGTTAAAGCTGAAATGACAGATTGTAGCCAGGTTGGAAGGCCATCTTAAGACATTTTAGATATTGATTGAAGATTGCCTACTTTTGTGATCATAGCATTTTAAAATATGATTCCAAAAACTGTCTTTGTCTTGGCACAGTTTATAGAAGCAAATATTTAAAGAAAACTACCTAAGAAATCAGAATTACATATTTTAAATTTCCTATAACTTCTAAAATATATATGCAAATATATATATATATGCAATGTTTATAGCAGAAAACAAATGAAAATAAACTAAATGCTCATTTATAAGAGACTGATCAAATGATTGCACATCCATAAATGAACTACCATGTACCCATTAAAACAATGCATTCTATATTTACTAAAAAAAGACCTTACTAAAATCTGCTGTTAAATAAAAAATACACACACACATATGTACATGTATCTGTGTGTATACACACTCACACACAAATGTAGCTGTTTAAATAAATGTCAATTTAAAAGTTCTAGGAGAGTATATATCAAACAGATAACAGCTGGTATCTCTGAGTGATGGGATTACTGGTGACTTTTATTTTCTGTTTTATACATTTATGAATTTTCAGAATTCAGGAATTCTGTCTTACTCATCCTTCACTTTTCTTTTTTAAATACCAAAAAGTGTGTTGATTTATAATAAGAAAAATTTGTTTTTTGAAGGAATAAAAAAGACATTTCAGCTATATTTTCAGTTCCTGGAACAAAAACAGAATTTTATTTTTCAAAAAACTAAAAATAGTAGTTTTCACTTACAAAAAGAAAAAAAAACTCTTTTTTTTTCACTAAACAATAATCCAACAATAAAGTTGTCTTTATTCATTTAACAAACAGCATTCAGAGAGGAGTTACTATCATATTTGTGAAATTTTCAGAACTTCTTAAAATATCCTATCTAATAAAAGATTAATATGCAAATTGACCATCACTCCAACACACAAGATGGCCAGCAGAGGAGGGCAGCCTCTTTTTTTTCACTAAACAATAATCCAATAATAAAGTTGTCATTATTCATTTAACCAACAGCATTCTGAGAGGAGTTACTATCATATTTGTGAAATTTTCAGAACTTCTTAAAATATCCTATCTAATAAAAGATTAATATGCAAATTGACCATCACTCCAACACACAAGATGGTCAGCAGAAGAAGGCAGTTGGGGGAGACCAGCCCTGCAGGGGAGGGCAGTTGGGGGGGACCAGCCCTGTAAGGGAGGGCAGTTAAGGGCAACCAGGCTGGCAAGAGAGGGCAGTTAGGGGTGACCAGGTCTGCAGGGGAGGACAGGGGTGACCAGGCTGGCAGGGGAGGGCAGTTAGGTGCAATCGGGCCAGCAGAGGAGCAGTTAGGCACCGATCAGGCTGGCAGGGGAGTTGTTAGGGGCAATCAGGCAGGCAGGCAGGTGAGTGGTTAGGAGCCAGCGGTCCAGGATTGTGATAGAGATGTCCCGGATTGGAGAGGGTGCAGGCTGGGCTGAGGGACACCCCCCCCCCAATGCACAAATTTCATGCACCGGGCCTCTAGTTAGTTTATAAAAGAAAATGGAATCTGGGAAGTAACTACTTTTAAATGGAGGTTACCATAGGGACAATATAAATGTGTTCAAAGAAGTTTTAAAATGTATCTAAATTTTCAAATAAAATAAAATATATACAGCTGCAAGAAATCTTTGTTATTTTGAAAGCTGGGAGCAGATTTTCTTCTAGGTAATAAAGGTCCCCTCTCCCTTTTTATATCAAAGCATTCTGATGAACTGATTTGGCCATGGATATGTTAATGGCAGAGGTGGCTGGGAGTGGAATAGACTTGCATTGTCCTGAAGAGTGAAATAAGAAGTTACTGAACCTACTCAGGCAAAGAGGTAAAGAGACGCCGGAGAGAACAGTGATAAACTCCAGAGCACAGAGGGAGAGACTGCTGTAGGAATAACCAAGGGATCTTAAAGAACAGGGAAGCCAAGTGCTCCGTTCAACATAGTTGTCTACTGGGGTGGCACTGTGCTGTGGTATAAACCCACCCTGAAATCTTAAATGTCTCTTTTACTCTTAAAGTTGATCATAAATCTTGATATAAATGGGTCGCATTTCAGAAAGGAAGGACTAGAGTAATGTTCAGCTGAGTAACAAGATGCTGGGAATAGAATATGCCCAGGAGGCTACATTCAGTGCCAAGAAGGAGGTCAACCAAAATGGCATAAAAAGACAGAAAAAATCAAGCCGACTGTCAGAACTAACTTAGAACTCTGCCTATCAGTCAAAGGTCAATGGCACCTAAGTGAACTCTGAATGACAGGAAAGGAAACTTTAAAATGGTAGGAAAGCTTTGTGGCATTTCTACTTGCCCTTGCCCCACCGTGTCCCCAGCTCAGTGGCTGTCTTGAAGATGGCAATCCGCATTCCCAGTGTGGAACTCTAGTCCCCAGCTCTAGAAGGAGCAGAGCAGACTTTATTTTAAAATAATTGTTTGTCTGTTCTAACCTTCCTTGGGGCTGCTTGAAAGCCTAACACAATGTATTTGTCTTTATTTTACCTAACTCAGACCTCATTCAGAGGAGGAAAGGCAGCAGGCATTCCTCAAAAGCATTGTATGGCAAGAAAACAACCCACAGCCATCTGGGACAAAATATCACAGTTGAGACACACAATAGGATGCTAAAGCTTGGGAGGAAAAGGTAGGGGAAGAGTATCCATAGGAAATTAGGACTTTCAACAGCACCTGTATATATTCAGGACTTTAGAAAGCAACACACATGCCCTTCCTTCCTTCCTTTTTTCCTTTCTTCCTTTCTCTTTTATTCTCTTCTCTCGCCCTTTCTCTTTTTCTCACTCTCACTCTCTTTATCTCTGGCTTCTTATGATCAAGGAAATCTTTGTCTAAACACTAACTGAATACAAGATAAAGGAACAGAGACTTCAAAGACAACACACACAAAAACAAAGTTCACAAAAACTTAAGAAAAGTCACCAAACAAGCAGCTATAGTCTGCAATAAGCAAGAAAAGCAAACCCTGAGAAGAATCTGATTTCAAGAGTAACTACATTATAATATTAAAAATGTCCAGTCTTCAACAAAATATTATGAAGCATTCAATGAAACAAGAAAATACAGCCTATTCACAGGAGAAATTAACAGATATGGTCCCTGACAAAGAACAGACTTTGGACTTACCAGGCAAAGACTTTACATCAACTGTCTCTAATACCTTCAAAGGGCTAGAGAAAACTGGGAGGAGGACATATGAACAAATAGAGCATTTCAATAGAGATAAAAATTATAAAAAGGATTCAGACAAATTCTGAAGCTGAAAAGTATAATAATGAAAATGAAAAAACTCACTAGAAGGCTTTAACAACAGATAAGCATGCAGAAGAGCAAGTGAACTTTAGGATCAGGCAATTAAATTATCCAATCTCAGGAGTAAAAAGAAAAAATTACAAGGGCCTAAGAGACCTATAGGACACCATCAAGCATATCAATATATCCATAATGAGAATCTCAGAGGGGAAAGAGAAACACTTACAGAGGATATCAGAAGAAATAATAACCAAAACCTCCCAAATTTGAGAAAGATAGGAATCTACAGTTTCAGGGAGCTTACTTCCCCACAGAAGATAGCACAAAGAAATCCACACCAAGGCACATTATAATGATACTATTAAAGAACAAAACAGAAAATCTTGAAAATAGCAAGAAGAAAGCAACTCATCTTGGACAACGAATCCTCAATAAGATTCGCATCTCTCTCATCAGAAACCACAAAGGACAGAAGATAGTGGGATGACATTTTTAATGTCCTGAAAGAAAAGAACTGTCAACCAAGAATTCTATATTCAACAAAGCTTTCTTTTAAAAATGGAGAAATTAAGGGGCACCAGAGTCGGCTTGATGGAAAGATCAGCGGTAGAGAAGGATGAGGATGGAGGCACTGGTGTTTGTCTTCTCTGTCCTCGACTGCTGCTCATTCATCTTCCTCTCAGTATACTTCATAATTACATTGTCTGATTTAGAATATGATTACATTAATACTAGATCACGTTGCTTGACATTAAGCAAGTAGGTAATTACAGAATTTCCAGATTGGTCATACCACTGTCACTGAATTAATGGTCATTTCATTGCACTGGTTCATCTTCCTTCTCAACTTGCCTGTTGCTACTTGGAATATCTATCAGTTCATTATGGTGCCAAGTCGTAACATGGGAGTGTTTGATCCAACAGAAATAAAGAATCGAGGACATAAGCCATGATCAAGGTTGGTTTCCACTTGCTCTGTTTCTTCATGTGTCTTTAAAGCATGATTTTATCTTTGATAAATGGCTGAAGCTGGAAAAGTCATGATTGAAGTCAACCTTACACTACAGTACACAGATGAGGAGCCAGACACTACTTAAATCATCCTTAGAAATGTAGTCACAGCAATATATTTTTTCCTCTTTGAACAAAAAATGTTTTTGCTATATTTTTATCATATAAAATATTTTAAAAACAAAAAATGGAGAAATGAAGACATTCTCAGATGAACAAAAGCTGATGGAGTTAGTTGCTGGTAGACCTGTTCTACAAGAAATGCACCACAAGAAAGGGAGTGCTTCCGGCTGAACAAAAGGACACTATACAGTAACTTGAAGCCACGTGAAAAACAAAGAGCCCCTGTAAAGGTAAATACTTTTGTATTTTGTATTAAATACAAACACCAATGTTATTATACTTTTAGTTCATATCTACTCTTTTTATTTCCTAAATGATTTAAAAGGCAAATGTATAAATATAATCATAAATCTATGTTAACAATGACACAATGTATAAAGATGTAATGTGTGACAATAATAACAGAGTATTATTATTATACTATGGAACCATACAGAGGGTATGAACTATACAGGAGCAGAGTTTTTGTATGCTCTTGAAGCTAGATTGGTATTAATGCAAACAAAATTGCTATAAATTAAGGTTTAACGTATAATCCCCATGGTAACCACAAAGAAAATAATCTTTAAATATATACTCCTCCAAAAAAAAAAGGAAATGAGAAAAGAATCAAAACAGCACTATAAAAAAAATCAACTAAACACACAAAAAAGGCCATAATGGAGGAAATAAAGAACAAAAAGGTACAGGGCATAGAGAAAAAGAATAGCAAAAGGCAGAAGTAAGACCTTCCTTAGCAATTAATTTACATGTAAATACATTAAATTCTCCAATAAATAGACAAAGATTGGCAGAATTTATTTTTTTTAAAACTATGATCAAACCATATGCTGTCTACAGAAGACCCACTTTAGATCCAATGACAAATAGCTTGAAAGTAAAAGATTGGAAAATGATATTCCATGCAAATACTAACCAAGAAAGAGGTGGAGAGTCCACACTAATGCAAGACAAAATTGACTTTAATTGTCTCTTGGTACAAGAGACAAAAAAGGACATTAGATATGAAAAAGAGTCAGTTTATTAAAATATATAATAATTATAAAAATATACACACCAAACAATAGAGCCCCAAATATATGATTCAAACATTGACACAACTGAAGGGAGGCCAAGACAATTCTATAGTAATAGTTGGAGACTTCAATACCTCACATTCCATACTGGATAGAAAACCTAGACACAAGATCAAAAAGAAAATAAAGGACTTTAAGAGCACCAAAGCCAAACTGATCTAACAACCAGATATGTATAGAGCACTCCATCCAACAAGAGCAGAATACACACTTTTCTCAAGTTCACATGAAATATGCCCCAGGGTGCACTATATGTTAGGCCACAAAACATGTCTCAATAAATTTAAAAATGTTGAAATCATATGAAGTACTAGTTTCTCTAAAGACAATGGAATAAAGCTAAAAATCAGTAACAGGCCGAAACCGGTTTGGCTCAGTGGATAGAGCGTCGGCCTGCGGACTGAAGGGTCCCAGGTTCGATTCCGGTCAAGGGCATGTACCTGGGTTGCGGGCACATCCCCAGTGGGAGATGTGCAGGAGGCGGCTGATCGATGTTTCTCTCTCATCGATGTTTCTAACTCTCTATCCCTCTCCCTTCCTCTCTGTAAAAAATCAATAAAATATATTTTTTAAAAAATCAGTAACAGGATAACTGGAAGGCTCACAGATGTGTGGAAATTAAACAACATACTCTTAAACAAATGGCCAAAGAAATCACAAGGGAAAATAGAAAAACTTAGAGATGAATGAAAACAAAAATACAACATACCAATACATATGGGATGTGGCAAAAGCGCGTGTGCTCAGAGAGAAACTCATAGCAGTGAATGCCTATAATAAAAACAAAACAGAGACCTCAAAACAATCTATCTTTACACCTTAAAGAACTAGAAAAAGAAGAACAAACTAAATCCAAAGCTGGGAGATTAATATCTTTAAAATAAATAATATCTTTAAAATAAAGTGTATTATTCTTTTTTATTTGTGTATTTAATTCTTTTTTATTTGTGTATTTAATTGTTAAACTATAATATTATTATTCATTTTTACAACAGATCTATATACAGGTATAATTTTTTTTCCTTTTTCAGTAAGTACATTAATATAGTTAAAAATATTTATCTATTACTTTTATCCTTATTTGTATTGTACTGTACTAAGTATTTTGAATTTTACAGGCATGATTTCATATATACATCTATATATACAGTGGTCCCCACCTTGTTCATGGGGAATATGTTCTAAGAACCTCAATGAATGTCTGAATCTGCATATAATACTGAACCCTATATATACTATATTTCTTTCCTATATATACATACCTATGATAGAGTTTAGTTTAATTTATAAATTAGGCATAGTAAGAGATTAACAACAATAAATAATAATAAAATAGAACAGTTTTAACAATATATTGTAATCAAAGTCATGTGAATGGCTTTGGCCGTTGTTAAGTTACTTGAGCAATATTGACATTATTAAGTTACTTAAGCACTGCAGTACCACTAACAGTTGATCTGATAACCCAATGACTAATGGGTGGGTAGCATATGTAGTGTGTATATGCTGGACAAAGGGTAATCCATATCCCTGATGGGACGGAGTGAGATAGCATGAGATTTCAGCATGTGATTTAAAACTTATAAATTGTGTAATTCTGGAATTTTCTATTTAATATTTTGGAATCTCAGTTGACCTTAGATAACTGTAACTGCAGGAAGTGAATCTACAGATACGGGGTTCTTCTTTAGTAGCCTGGCCATGTTCTTCTCAGAATATATGACAGAAAAGCAAAAGGATAAAACCAGTTGCACAAACATCTCTTCTGTCACATCTTCTGACATCCTATTGACCAAAACAAGTCACAGGGCCAGGGCCAGGGTCTAGAGGTAGTAAAATACACCCTGCACCAGTGAGAGGCACAGGTTAGGACAGAGATGAAGGGAGGATAGAAGAACTGGGGCCATATGCAATCTCCCACAATCACATCGTTATAGCATTTGTATAGGATCTTAAATGTTCATTTGTGCTCTCCCATGGGTTTTCATTGGATCCTCACAACAACTCTGTGAGGATATTATTTTTAATTTCCACATTTTATAGAAGAGGAAACAGAATCAGGAAGGTGAAGTCACAGCTAGTTAGCCGCAGAAGGGGACTTTCTACTTTTTCATAAAAAGACGTAGGATGGGAAAGGGTGGACTTTTCCGCACTTTGGGCATGGGTGAGCATTCTTTTCTTTTGTTTATAGGATGAAGACCAAAACCAAAAAAAACTGAATCAGAGGAAGAAACCACAGGTAAAGCATGCTGGGGTTGACTAGGAGACTGTTTCTTATTGCTTTTCAATGGCCAACCATCTATCTAAAATGGTTTTATTGTAGTCCTTTCTAAAAAAAAAATAAAATTTACATCAAAATAATTGTTACATCATTACAAATACCAAGGAAAGGACCCCCCCCCCCAAATAAGTCCATATGCACAAAAGAGCAGTCTCAGCTAAAGAAGTTAGATCACATTTTATAGATGACTAGGCTATAGTAGTAATTGCTAAAAATTTTGAATATGTGCTACCAGTATATCTATCTATATAATAGAGGAATATGCAAATTAGCTGGGACACCATAACGTCATGACCGAACAGCAGGGACCTGAGGCTGCATGGCGCCTGGATGGGGCGAGGGACCTCAGGCCATGCCCCCCACCCCGCGGGGCTTGAGGGGAGACCTCAGGTCGTGCCCCCGCCCTGACGCTGGGCCGGGAGACCTCAGCCATGCCCCCCCCCCCCC